TTCATTCATTTCATGAATATTTATTAAGATACTTTCTGGAGCCAGACAATATTCTAGGTGCTAGTGATAAAATGGTATGCAGCTGTGCGGTCCATCTACTCAGATGTGTGCTTGATCCAGTGGATGATACAGCCAAGAGAAGCCATTTATAGTATGACGAACATTCTCATGGAGAGGGTCATGGAAGTTACTGTGGTGCTGTGGGATGTGTTGTGGGAGACCAATTCCAGATTTGAGAGCAGCTCTTTCTTTATGATATCTAAGCTAGATGGTTATGCAAGCATGTGTACATGAAAACACACACATGCACGTATATGCACCTAGTGGCTAGGAGAAATGGGGCCAAAATGAGAGCATTCTAGGTGAACAGAATAGAATTTTCAGCAACTGAAAGAAGTTTAATGGCTCAATTTGAAAGAAATTACTGGGAGATTTAGACTCAAATGTTGTTGGTGAGATACAAGGACTATATCATGTCATGTCAGACCTTATAAGTCTTCTTAAAAAGTTTTGATGTTACCATTAGAGCAGTGAGAAGCTACTAAGAGGAGAATGGATCAGAACTGCATTTTTAAAAAATTACTCTCACTGCAATGTGCAGACTGAATTAGTGGGATGCAGAACAGAAATAGAAAAACAAGTTAGGAGGCTTTTAGTTATAATCCAGGTGACAGATGATGGTGATTTTGTCCTAAGATATGGTAGAGAATGAAAGAAATAAACATATTTGAGAGACCATAGAGATATAAAATTGACAACCATTAGAGCTTGACTGCAGAGCCAAAGAAAGAAAAAAGTCAAGGAAGGTATTTGTGTTTCTGTCTTAGGCTGCTGGTGGACAGAAGAGACAGTCACTAGAAGAAGGAGGCATGATGGGGTGATAACCTGTTTTCTTAGGGACTCACAGAACTGTTTTGAAGATTAAGTGAAATAATTTATGTAACAGAACTACCACAATGCATAAAGCATCCCAGCTAATTTTTGTAGTCATTTATATTCCCTTCTCTTTTCTGAAGTTGTGCCAATAATTTAATAGCAAAACTGAGTATAGAATCCCAGGATTCTGTTTACCAGTCCAGAGTTCTTTGTTAATGGACTGCTGATCTATAAACAAAGATGAAACACAGGGATTTTAAAGCAAATATTCACAACTTATCCTGGAATTGCTTACAAGCTGACAGCTATCCAACTTATTTTTAGTTTATGTTTAAAATGAATCATATGTTCCAAAATGACTGACAGAAACAAAGCTTTGTTTCTGAAGCCAATTCTATTGCATCATTTTTGGACATCACTCAGATCTATAACAGAACTTCAGGGTGTTTAAAAGCATTCATCCATGACAACAACAAATGCTAATTATCATAAAAAATAAATAGCTCCTGTTAACATCATTTAAAAAATTTCTTCTACTCCAGCACTATATTTCATCCATCACTCCATCTGTTTTGGGGGTAGGAACAAAGACTGGATGAAAGTATAATTATCATGTATTAAACTGGACAACACAACAAAAAAGAAATGAATGTAAATGGGAGGAATAACATACATAAAAAAATCTGGAAGTAAAAGGAATCATGTAAATAAAGTGGCACATGTGTGTTCTGCATTTAACAGCACACATAAGTCTATAACAGAGTCAATAATGCTTATCTTGTTGGGTATGAGGTAAGTTTTTTTCCTATTTGAGTTCATAGTCCTAGCTATGATCAGATTTCCTCCCGCATAACCAAATAGTCATCTTTCTCATTTGGGAAGTGTGTAAATTCCCTTTGTTAAATTCTTTCATTAAGATTCTACCTTGAGACTTGGTCTTGTTGGGTATGAGGTAAGTTTTTTTCCTATTTGAGTTCATAGTCCTAGCTATGATCAGACTTCCTCCCACATAACCAAATAGTCATCTTTCTCATTTGGGAAGTGTGTAAATTCCCTTTGTTAAATTCTTTCATTAAGATTCTACCTTGAGACTTGAAAACACAAACAAAAAGACAGTAAGTCTACATTTACGTAATTATGAATACATTTCAAAGGACTCTCACCTAAAAACACAAACAAAAAGACAGTAAGTCTACATTTACGTAATTATGAATACATTTCAAAGGACTCTCACCTATCTTAGAGTCAGTCCTAACATACAAAATAACCAAGAACAACCAAGTTATCAAAAGTCTTTAAAATAAAAGAGGAAAGTGGCCAGTTACAAATACAATTAGCTCATTACAAATAATATTAAAAACATGAATAATCACATTTCTCTAAACAGGGATTAGAAGCTCAATAGGGCCAGAACTTTTTTTCCTTTTCTGGCATACAATCATACCTCTAACTGTCCCTGGCCAGTAGCAGGTGATTAATCAATATTTGTTGAATTAAATGTTGCATAAAATGGAACATCAATAAGCTTTTTCCTCAGATGATTTTAAGACATACTTATTCTATGAATAATTCTGTGATGACTCTAACTTAGCATTAATACTTAAATAATCAAAGACCTTTGAAGTTTCCAAGTATCTATGTCACCCTCAAAGCAATGCGAATGTCAGTTTCCTTTAAATAGTAACATAAACTATTTTAATAAATTTAATCTGAGATCAGGACTCCCTTTAAAGTCATTAAAGTCAATTAAATAATTATATATGTCTTCATATAAATTTGCCTATGTGATATAAATATTTAGAATTTAATTTAAAACAGAGATAGACCAATTATATATGAAGCTTTACTTTCCCAAGTTGTGATATGACCTGATAAAAAGTCCATTTATCTCTTTTTTTAATCACCCAAGAACCACATGTATGAAATAAAAATGCCACAGATGCACACACATGCACAAGCACACAGCATAGTGAAAAAAGGTAATATATCTATAAGCCATTTGAATATTTGCTAATTTTCTCCCTCTTATGAGGAGTTTTAAAATAATAATAAATAAATACAAAACATCTCCTGTACAACATTTAAATATGTGTGTGTATACATAAAGTCGTGGGTTGCTTAATGGTGAAGATATATTCTGAGAAATTCATCATTAGGTAATTTTGTCATTTTGCAAACATCATAAAATTTACTTACACGAACCTAGATTCTGTAGACTACTACACATTTAGGCTATATGGTATAGTCTATTGCTCCCAGGCTACATACTTGTACAGCATGCTATGTACTAAATACTGTAGGCAATTATAATACAATGGTAAGTATTTGTATATCTGAAATATTTAAACAGAGAAAAAGTACAATAAAAATACAGTCTTGTAATATTTTTTAGACTGTGATTATATATACAGTCCATTGTTGACCAAAAAGTCTTTATGCTATGCATGACTGTACGTCTATATCATGTGTGTATATGTGTACATATGAGAATATACGATGCTTGGGCAGCACACACCTTAGTTATATCAGAAGGGAATGAAAAAGTAAATAATCCATAAATTTCCAATGCATGAGTATCCATACTTATATATTTCTTTATAGGACCATACATAAACATAACCAATTTGTGACTGAGGATGCCCTGGATCATCACATTATACAATCCCAGAGAAACCATTCACGTAGAACTTGCCATTCAAAATTTGGCACATGGAATTTTATCAATGACAAAAAAGTAATGATTTGAGAATAAAACATATGAAATACATTTAATAGGTCTAATTTGAGCTAAAAGATACATCATAGATACCTAGGCTATTTTGAATAACCTAAGTAATTTTATTTATGTATTTCTAAGTTAAAATTATTTACAACTATTGCACACTTTAAAATAAACAAAATTTGCCATTAATTTACATTTAGACTCACTCTTTATCTCAATGAAACATTTTAAAAATTATTTTCATTGTTTTTTTTAACCCTGTAACTCCCTGTTCCCTGTTCCTGTGGAAGAGTTTTTATCTGTTAATTTACAGATGATCACTTTTGTTGGCAAATGGATAAATTTCTGCACAGAGTTCTATATACTGAATGCATGAACAATGTGTGCTACTGGTATACTTTGAGAGAATTTAAATTCAAGTGAATTTCAATTTCAATGTAAATATGAAGGTATAGTGAAATGTCCTAAGACAAAAATTTATATTCTAATTTAAAGAGCACTATTTAGATTGTTGATAAACATTTTAAAGTGAAATCAATTATCACTCTGTAGTAAGCAAACTAGTATGCAGTTCCTTCACCAATACAACTGCCAACACAAATTAAAGCTATTTTTACTGTTTACTTCCTTGTATTTCTCTGAGACTTGTTTTAATTGATAGTATAACCATTCATATACAAAAATAACATGCATTAAAACCAGAAATCACAGACTACCTCAAGAAAGCAAATGCTCATTCAGATATTCTTTTAACACACCAAAATAAATAACATTTAGTATTTTTATTCTCTAAGTTCCCAAATGTTGTCTGCACAAAAGCAGTCCCCAAAACTTAAGAATTTCAATGGATATTATTTTGTTTCACATTTGAGGAAAAAAACTTTTTAAACTTTAACAAGCTTTACAGACATACAGTTTATTACTTTTCATATTCATTCTTTGCACATAAACAGCTAAATAAAATATCAAGGCAAAATTCTGAATTTCTTGGCAAGTTTAATGAGCAGCCAAACACAAGGCTTTATTTTGGGAAACTACTTTAGCAGAAACCACCTAGAAGAAAAATTCTTTGGATAAATATTTCAATATTATCTTTTATGCTATCTCTATCCTTCAAACCATTTGTAGTTCAAGCTAGCTGATTCTTGACAGAAAAAATGCATATTTTACAATACAGAGAAAAAGTATGTGATTTAGCTATTTTCTGTTTGGATGTGTGAAATTAGGATTTGTGTTTGATTCCAAATGTCTTTCCACATCCCTTAACTTAATTTTAAAAACAACAGAGTAAAACAAAGAAACATAAAACAAAACAAAGAAGAATACATTAAGAATCTAGAATGCACTCCAGAAAATTATCTGCACTTAAAGTGTAGCACTAAAGGGTGCTGATTTTTCTTACCAGTGCTGTCATCATATACAACTGTGACTGTTTTCCACTTGAAAAACTGCACCAGGTCTAAAATGGCACGGCTGAGTGAGGAGAAGTCTGGGTAGAGACTGACATAGAAGGAATCTTTGTTGTCTGACACCTGGTGCTTCCAGCGGGTCTGTATGTGAGGAACACCCAGAGCATTGCAGATGGACTGTACTGCATTTGCTGAAGAGCTGTGTGAAGGCCCGAAGATGGCAGCCACACCAAGAGACAGCTGATCACAGGCTGAAGAGGAGACAGAAGTCTGTCAATAACCACAGGAGAGATACCAGTATGCCAAGAGATACCATAATAATATAGTATTGTAAACCTGAAGATATCATCCTGAAGAAGGATTTATTTTTCTTTAATAAAACATCTGCATTGCAGTAGTTTTACATTTTGTCTGAAACTGAATATTTTCAGTTTATTACAAGATAATTAATTTACCCAGATGCCTGCATCTCAATGTTCAAATAATTCTATAAATGATGTCAGGAGAGAGAAAGAGGGAAGGAGAAAGAGGAGGAATATTTCGAATTTAATCAGAGGAATGTTCTTGGAAATTCACTGGCCATCCTTTACAAGGTCAAATTCTTAATCAGAAACCATTTGGTCCCCCACTCCACCCAATTAGCTATGGCCATAAACAGATAAATATTTGTACATATCTGATAATATACGTCAAGTTATGCAAACAATCACCATACAAAATGGGCTATGGCTCTTTGGGGATGATTTCACATGAATTAATCTCATTGAGTAGAAAGAACACCAAAATCATTAGATAAGTGCTCAATCTGGCTTTTGGATGCTGTAAGTTATTTACATTGTTCTAAACTATTTTTTGTAAAATTTGTATTTACTAACAGAAAATTTCATTCACATCAATAATATCCGCAGTAATTAAGATAGGCAAAGACAGTCTAGAGGGTATTCGGATTAAAACAGATAGACAGTATCAGGACTTATACTTTTAATAGGTAAACACTGAAGCAAATAGTGAGTTTGGACCTATAAAACGAATAATGATTGGAAACATAAAAATTATTTTTCAGTATTTGAAGACCTGGCCTGTGAGAGGAGCTTGTTTCATTTGACTTGCAAAGAGAGAATGAGGATAAATAGTTAGAAGCTTCTCAAGAATTTTGACCCTATTTAAATTTTTTAAAAGTCTAAAAAGTAGAAAATGTCCAAAATTGGAATAGTCTGCCCCAAAAGGCTGTGGTATGCCTATTACTACAAATATTTAAACAGGACAGAGGAGGATTGTTATTGGAATTTAGGCACAAAATAGTTATCAGACTCAATTCCTCCAAAATGGATAGTTTATAATTCTATTGTGTGAAATATTTTTTGATATTTTCCTTCAGAGTTTTCTGCATAAAATATAATGTGATGTATGGATTCTTAAGCATAGAGGTATTTAACAGTTAAGTTAGTTTTAGTTGAAAAAAATACTTGTTTAAGCTTTCTTCAAAAATTCAATATGATCAAATAAATTGTTTTTGAATATATAGATTCTTATTTTTTAAATAATGATTAGAATTATGGATCAGTGGAAAGGCTGGAGACTGGAAATTTTCACTGAACATGGGATTTTAATTCATATACATAGAGAATAAAAGATCTTCCTTCACCATTTTTTTGACAAATCACAAACCCAGAAAAGCTAGTAACATTATATTAAGTTATTTAGAATGTCCCTAAGTGTATTTCAAATAAGAATTAGTGTTTTCAGTTATCAGAAAAGTCATTTAAAAATGATGTATAGTTTAAATAATTCAAACTTTAGTACACCAAAATATTCTTGAATTGAGCAAAACAGTTCAAAAGAAAAAAAAATTAGAGAAAACATCAAAATTTAACATCTAATTGTCTACTATTTTCTTGCCTTAGAAAAATAATTTCTAAAAGTTTTAACAATGTCCAAATTCATCTAAATGATTGTATAATTAATCCTTAGCATCATTATCCATATATACATTTATTGGGCACCAAGAAGGTTAAGAAACTGTATCGAATCTCTCCCTTACATTTTCCTTTTACTTATTGCTGTGCCCTCTAAGCAGTAAAAGCTCAACAAACCAGAGCTTCACAAGATAAGATCCAAACCATGACATTCACCTTTTCAACATTTCACAGAGAAAGTTGCTTGTATGCTTATCTGAGCTTTTCCTAGCTTCAGACCAAAATCAACTGATGGATTTAACTCCCAATGGGTTTTTAATGTGCAACAAAGCTTGTAAATTCCTTACAATGCTCTGAAAACCAGATGACTTTATCACCTCATAATTTTGCTAAGACATTCCAGGGATAGTACCCTCTTTGTTGTCAAAACATTCTAACCTGTTTTTTTCATTGTTTCTTTGAAGTCAGCATTAAGAAACCTGTTAATATTTTATCGATACTGCACTCATATTCCATATTCTTTGGTCAAAATGCTTTCATTAGAGGCAAAGCTGCTTCTTCCTAATGGAGACAATCATGAACTATGCCACTAATCAAATGCACTTGTCTTGCAGTTAATGACTTGTTTTGCAATTATGATGACAAATGTAGTATTTCACAGTAACCTTTAACCTTTTTTCAGCCTTCAAAACCTTTCATCACCTTGACATGGTTCTGAAATGTGGAAACTTATTTGTATTCATAAAGATATGAATTCAAAGGGCATGCAGAATATGGCTTTGATAAACACTAGTTAGCTGCTGGGGGAAAAGAAGGATACTTTCATCTGTACCTTGTCAGCTACAATTAATATTAATGAGCTTAGAAGAAATCTGCACCAACTTAGAATTATAAATAACTATGTACATTTCTATCAAAGTAAGGTAGCTAGTAAAACCATATTAACATTATGGAAAGGCAAACATTGTTTAAAAGTATGACGATAAAAAACCTGATTTGGAAGCCCATTACTTTGAGAAAATCTTTATTATAAAATTTAAATCCTATTACATGAATGCTAACTATGCAACAGAAAAGGTCAACTATTATAAGGTAACGTACATAAGACTATGAAAACACCTCTCGAACACATTTATTACTAATACTACTACTTGGTTAAAATAATGCTTTGATAATAGTTTTCTATATTCCTTTCCTCCATATATAAATACTAAATTCATATTCCACACTTATTTTCCGATTCTTGATTTTAAACAGGTTTACAACATAATAAAGAAATAAATTCATAAAGTATTCTAATTATTCATATAATCCAATTTCTATATCATTAGTCATTTGTTTTCAGTTATAAAAAGAAATATCAAGTAGTTAAAAAAATGATCATTGAGTATACACAAACTAATGATTGCTCAAAATTTTCCAGTAAAGGGCCGGCCCGGTGGCGCACTGCTACAGTGCGCCACTTGGGAGCGCGGCGGCAC